ACTATTTCAAACAGTAAGCTGCATACATTACAATTATATCCTATTTGTTTTGTTTGTCATTCTGATATGGAAAGATAACACTGCATTGTTATTCTTTACTTGATTGTGGATACTGTGGCGTTGTATATGCAGTGACATTAGGATGACCACATGCCCCAATTTTGTAGGGACAGTCCCGATATTCGGGGCTTTTTCTTATATATGCACCTTTTACTCCTGACCTGATTTTTCACACTTTCTATCTGGTCACTCTAAGTGACACTGATGAAACTATTCTGTTACTACAATGCAGAACAGCAATAATCCTGCAGCTTTTCATTTTTGAAAAGCTCCTAGTTTGTACCATGGACTGTCAGAAGTCTCACAAACAGCACTATATGTCCTATCTCTGTGTTCATTTTTGAGCATTGTGCAATATTTTTACTTTCTGAGTTTTAAGCAATTTCTAGGATCTGAATTAAAAGCCAAAGGGCAATGAGTTCTCACTGGTGGGTTGTCAAAGTGATCTAGACCCACACATACAGACCTTTAGGGTTTGATTTGTGATGTCTCATGAATTGGACCATGTCAGATCTATTCTCCAGAACTGACTATGAACCCTGCTTAGTTTGCTTAAAGGTTCAGATCCCATAGCTAGGGCCCTACCAAATTCATGGTTCATTTTGGTCAATTTCACAGTCAAAGGATTTTTAAAATTGTAAATGTCATGATTTCTGCTATTTAAATCTGAAATTTCACAGTGTTGTAATTGGAGGGTCCCTGACCCAAAAAGGAGTTGTGGGGAGGTCACAAGGTTATTGCAGGGAGGGTTGCGGTACTGCTGTTGTAAGTGCGGAAGTAAGGGTGGAAATATCACAACCCCCTAAAATAACCCTGTGGCCCCCCTGAAACTCCCTTTTGAGTCAGGACCCTCAATTTGAGAAACACTAGTCTCCCCCTTGAAATCTGTACAGCATACGGTAAAAACACACAAAAGACCAGATTTCCCCGAGGGAGATCAGATTTCATGATCCGTGATGCATTTTTCATGGCTGTGAATTGGTAGGCCCCTACTCATAGCCACTGAAATTCCAAAGGGAAGCTCCCACTTTCCCTATGTGTCTAAATGTATCTTATTAGAACACAGGTTAACTAATGCAATTTTAACGCAATGTAGCACTGTTGTGTTTTACATCAAGTCATGTGGACTTTGAGGTTAACCATGACACTTCTCATCTGCATTAAAGGTCTGATTCTCATTTATACTGATGGATCTTTACACTGCATAAATTACACTTACACACACTTTAAGGCCCCTTTAGACTCCCAGAGCTCCTAAATCTGTACACAGTCTGGTCCTAACAGTATTTGTGGGTCTTGTCCAGATACAGATGATCATTTCTGCTTCTTAGTATGGGATTTATGGAAGCTTCCCTTTAGAAAAATGTTGCAATATAAATCAATTCCTGACAAATTCATACTAAGCTGTGCTATCTCCTGTTTTATGCAACTGTTTGCATAATATTTTAAGTAAGTAGAATAAAACATGCATGAAGGCTATCATAAAAATACCTACATCAACAACTCACTAGGAGGAATGGAACTTGTGTTTACATGTTAAAACCTCTTTTAGACTATCAAAAACGTTCATCTATTTTCATTTCAGGTTTAAAATGCTAAATGATGAAAACTGCAGCCATTTTCTGTTGTTTAATTATGCACTACGCTGGTTTGCGGTTAGAACGGATATTCTCATGACCTTGGTAACCTTCATTGTTGCATTATTTGTTGCTTTGAGCCCTCCTTTTATTAGTACTGCAGCAAAAGGCTTGGCTTTGTCCTATATTATCCAGGTAAAAATAAATGTTTGGTGTCTTGGGTTAACCTCTGTTAATTATGTTAGTGCATATACATTTCCTATTCTACCCATTCTTTATCCTAAAATGCAATGTGAGTATTACATTCACTTGAAGCCAGGTTTTACAACTCTTACTCACACTGGGCAATACTTTACTCTGCAAATAGCACATTGGATATTGAAATCAATGGATCAAGATATTACCCAGCATGAAAAAGAATGGCAGAATTGAGAACACAGGGAGAAAAAAATAGTTCACATTTTGGAAAGAGCTGAGATTCAAGTTGTACACATTCTACAGAAATGTAGCTACTTTATATAACTGCTTTACCTCAGCCTCATTTCATTGCACCTTACCTTCGATTATTTAATAACTCATTTGTAATGTCTTATTTTAAGTTAGATTGCTAATATTTCAAGGCAGGGACTGTGTCTTCCTATGCATTGTTACAGCACCTACCAGAGTGTGTATCTGATTCTGACTAGGGCCTTCACGTACTACTGCACAGTATATAAGTAGTGTGACAGGGTCAGGCTGGATGGCTATAGGAGAGTCATAGAAGACAGATATATTAGCCCCACGTTAAGCAGGTCCCATTACCCTGGGTAAGATAACTATTCCAGAACACTCAGGAACTTTCTAGAACTAATTAAGGGAGGCAGACTAATTAGGATATCTGTAGCCAATTGGGAAGCTGCTAGAATTAATTAAGGCTAATCAGGACACCTGGTTTAAAAAGGCTGTCACTCCAGTTAGTGAGGTGTGCATGTAAGGAGCTGGGAGTGAGAGGATGTGCTGCTGGAGGACTGAGGAGTACAAGCATTGACAGACATCAGGAAGAAAGTCCTGTGGTGAGGACAAAGAAGGTGTTGGGAGGAGGTCATGGGGAAGTAGCCCAGGGAATTGTAGCTGTTGCGCAGCTGTTCCAAAAGGCACTCTAGACAGCTGCAGTCCACAGGGTCCCGGGCTGGAATCTGGGGTAGAGGGCGGGCCCAGGTTCCCCCCAAACCTCCCAACTCCAGACCCAACACAAGAGGTTCCACCAGAGGGGAAGGTCTCTGAGCTGTTCCCCGACCCACATGGTGGATCAGCAGAAACTGCGGAGATTGTTCTTACTCTTTTTCCCCATGCTGGCCAGTGACGAGGTTATCTGAATGAACAGCAGATTTGAGTCACGAAAGTGGCCAAACTGAGGGCTACTGTGAATCTCTGAGGCAAGCAAAATCCACCAATAAGCGCAGGACTCACCAAGGTAGAGGAGGAACTTTGTCACAGTAGATAATTCCAAACCATTTGTGTTTAGTATATGAATGTTAAATATCCCTTAGTTTTATATAGAATTTACCACAGAAAATGATAACTAACTTATTGCAAAGCACAAAAAGGAATGGGAGTTGTTTATTTTTTTAAAATGGCAAATGAAAATAAATTTTATTTTCTTCTTTAATAATCACAATAAACCATCCCCATTCTTAGACACTTAGGGTAGTGTTGTTTTTACTTTCATAACCTTTCTACTTTCAATAAAGTAATATAAATATTTCCAGTCATAATGAACCTCTCAGAAGCAACAAGTAGTTTCTGCATTTTTACCTTAAACTGTCGTCACCTTCGACGACTACTTTTGCTCGTAACATTTAAAGCTCATACTTCTATTAAAAGTTAGTGTGCAATGACTGAATACATATGCCCATATTTTACTGCTGGATTAATGATGTGTTGCCAAAATATTTTAAATGTTAAAAAATATGAAAAATATAGATTTTAAAAAAATATTATTTATTCCTAAATGTGAGGTAGTTCAGATGTCATGGAAAATACAAATATATTTATAACACATTGAGCTGACTACCAAATATCTCCTAACAGTGAGCAGAAAGGCCAGAAAAACACAGGACCCTCATGTCAAACTGTGAAAGATATTTTTCCAGTTGCTTCAGCTTGGCAAACTCCGTAGGCAGTTGTAATAGCTTTGAAATCACCTCAGGATCTATTATTGAGCTGTGCTGATGATTAGCTTGTGTGCAATTTCATTCTCCAAAACACTCTTTTACATTAATTATGCACTCTTCATTCACCACTAGAGCTACTGTAGATAGAAGTGAATAAAAGGTGACTTCCCACAATGCACTGAGCTAAATTCCAAAGGCTGTATGCTGTTATGTGGTTCGTACACACTTTTTCAAATGCCTGTTACATACAAGGCCAATAAGAGAGGGAGAAACTCCCGGCATACAGTTGCGTGTGTGAAGATTTTACATTTCTCAAAAGGAATGGAGAATTGGTACAGCTCTGGGCTAGATTGTACCTAATAGCCTTGCATTGGAGTGGGCATGGAAGGACTACACCACAGCAAGACCCCCGCATGGAGTATTGGCTGAATAAACAAACATATTAGATACACATTTGTGCACCTATCTTTTGAAGGTCAGACTGTAAGGGATTAATTTTCAAAGCCACAAAGGACAATTAGGCACTCAAATCAAACTGAAAATCAATGGGAGTTGGGTGGCTAACTTTCCTTTGTGCCTTTGAAAGTCACACCCTAAATGACCACTCTCATATGCATAATTTATTAGACAGAAAGAAATTTCCTGTGAAGCTCTGGACAATGGTCAGAAGAGTTCCATAAGCTGATATAAATATTAATGAGTTTGTTATTGTTTTAGGCCCTTTTCTTGCAAAGATTTATGACACATGCTCAACTTTATGCATATGAATAGTTTCATTAAAGTTTTTTTTCTTTTTAATAGTTGAGTGGACTTCTTCAAGTATGTGTAAGGACAGGGACTGAGACAGAAGCTAAATTTACTTCTGTTGAACAGATACAAGAATATATCTTGGTAAGAAATACATCTAAATGGAGCATTTAAGACCACTGTATGTATAAATATTGCTGAAATCTTTAACTGTTGACTTTGTGGATCAATTAAATGTTCTCCTTTTTCTCCCTTTCTCGTAGAAGTGTGTTCCTGAAGCCTCCCAGTGTGCAGATATAGTGAACTCTCCCAACGGCTGGCCGGATCGAGGGGACATCACATTTAAAGATTACCAGATGAAATATAGAAACAACAGTCCTATGGTTCTCAATGGCTTAAATATGAGCATTCACGGTGGAGAAACAATTGGTATTGTTGGAAGAACAGGCTCTGGTGAGATATACCATTTCCCCCCCCCCCCCCGATTTCTCTCTGGCCCTCCATGCTAATTAATTACATATTTTTGATAGTTCACAGTTTTCTATAGTCAGTTCATCTGTAAATTGTGACATTACATTAAAAGGACTCAGTTCTGCCATTAAGGGCATGTCTACACTTCAATCTTAAGTCAACCTACGTTAAGTCAACTTACAATGGTGTCTGATGTCCACACTACCCTCCTTTGGTCAGTGTTGCACATCCTTACGATGAGCACTTCCACCGACTAAAGAGGTGCACTGTGGAGGGCTGAAGGCCAGGGCGCTCAGTTCCCCACCACTCCCCACTGGGAGCCCAGCTGCCCCCTGGGGCTTCTCGCCTCCAGCAGGAAGATCCTGCCTGGAGTCCAGGCGGCTGCTGTGCTCCTTGCGGGGAGCTGAGACCCAGGGAGCAGCTGAAGCCAGGAGTCTGGGTGGCAGAAAGCTTGGAGTGAAGACCTGGCAGAAGCCCAGGTGGGGAACTGGCTTTCTGGTCAATTTCAGGGCTCTAGCTGATGGATCCATCTGATTCTGACATGGCCTCTGCAGTTCCATCTCTGAAGCCCAAGTTGGTTCCACTTTCAACTTCAAAGACCAGAGGTGTGGAACTGAGTATTTTGCTGGATCTGGTACTCTGTAGGTCTGTGAGACCAGCTATTTCCTCGCTGCTGTTCTGGAATCATCCTTTAATCCAAAGAGGTCTCACTGTGGTGGCTGAAGTGAACAATCCTGCATCTGAGCATTCCTCGTGTCTAAGTGAGAGGCAGATGACTTGTTCGGTTCAGTGTTCTGCTTCCTCTTCATCTGAAAAAGGAGAAGAGCAGAGGAGATTGTTAGTCTTTCTCTGGATCCATTTGTGCCTTTTCCTCCGAGGACTTCAACAGGGTCCCAAAGCAGAACTTTCTCACCTTCTATTGCTCTTCACCCTCCAGTTCTGTTGCTGTCTTCTGTGAGGTCCATGGCAGATCTGAGGTTAGATCATCAGGTGGAGGAGGCAGATGAAGAATTAAGAGACCTGATTCCCCACTCCAATGTTGTTCTGCCTCCTATGGGCATCTTTCCACATCCCAGCTACTGGAGGTACTGGCAATCCTGGTTGGGTTCCACCACAGAACGTTTTGAGTCATCCTCTTTATGGATGGAGAGGTGATGTTTCAGCAGAAAAGGATCCAGTAGCTGAGCAACCCTTGGATCTGGTTCCACTAGATCTATCTTCAGCTCTGATAGTTGTGCCTGACACGTTTTCTAAAGAGGAAGACAGAGATAGCTCCTCTTTTAGAACAAGAGCAGATGGATACAGACTTTGATGTCACTTGTCACCTGATGAGCATTGCTTCTGCATTGTCTCTTCTGAGGATGCTTTGCAGTTTCATGACCTCATGGACCACATGGCATCCACATTGAACTTACCTTCTGTGGCTATGGAGAAAACCTTCCACCCAGTATTGGACATTCTTGAGACTGCCTTCTGGAACAGGATGTGGTTGCCGATAGTGGATGCTCTCTTGCAGCCGACTAGGACTGTTTGGGCAACCCCTGCTTCCAGTCAATGTATTTCTGAAAAAGCAGATAATTGTATGAGATACACCCCAGGACTTGGGGTTTTCTTACTGTCACACTCACCCTCTGCCTAATTTACTGTGGTGGCTCTGCTAGTAATAAGTTTATGTCCAATTAGGCCCATTAGACTCTTTACAGAGAGGGGAAGAAAGTTTTTCCCCCCCTCTTCTCTTGGTATTAGAATGTCTAATTACCAGGTGGTCATGGCATCTGTGTTTGTTCAGGCATTGCCAGACAATAAGAGAAGGCTGGCAAATGTTATTTTGATGAAGGGACAAAATGTGAAGCATGCTCTCAGGGCTTCAGCTGATGCTTCTCACTTTTCCACTAGAGCACTGGCACCTTAAGGAGACCTTTTTGGCTTTGTGCCTCTTCATTGGCTGTGGATACCAAATTAAATACCCCTCTTCCTTTTGAGAGGCAATAAGACTGATGAATTTTTGGAAAAATTAACAGATAGCAAATCCACTGCTTGTTCACTGGGTCACTATCCCTGGTTCAGAAAGAAACCATACACTCCTTGTTTCCATTATCAGAGACAATTTTACCTCAGTTATTTGCTTATTTTTCCTCAAATCACAGATGTCCGCATCAGTAAGCTTTGTTTTCATCTCAGAGCAAGCACAAGAAGTATTTTAGATACACACCAGAGACAAAACAATCTGCTCCCTCCTCTTTATCTTCCTTGAACACCAGGCCTGAGATTTGATGTGAGGAGCGAGAGTCAGGAACCAATAAGTGACAATCCCTCCCTTCCTTTATTTGGAGACAGGCTAGCCATTTTCATCAACAACTGGAGGCTTATTACATCAGACAAGTGAGTTCTAGAAATCACTGAGAAGAGGTATGCCATATAAATAAAAAAAACTACCCTCTTTCAATTCTCCCTACTCTTCCCTTTACAGAGAACTGTCTCATGAGGCTATTCTTCTATCACAGGTTCAAAAACTGCTTCTATTAGGTGTTGTCAAAGAGATACCCAAACATCTTTGGTGTCTGGGTTTTATTCAAGATACTTCCTGGTACAAGAAAAGATGTGGGATTCTCTTCAATTTTAGATCTCAGAAAACTGAACAAGTACATTTGGAAGTTCTGGTTTTTAATGTTTCAATCCAGCTGAGCCTTTGTTTTGTTATGGCCCAGCAACATTTCCAGTACAAGGTCCTGCTGTTTGGCCTTTCTACAGCACCAAGAGTCTTTACAAAGTGGCTCTCTGTAGTAGCAGTGCATTAAAGAAAGCAGGGTATGTTTGTTTACCTATATTTGGACAACTGGCTGCTGAAGTCTTCTTCATGTGAGGGCCTGCTACTTCATATCAACTCCACAATCTCCCTACTGACAGATCTAGGGCATCAAAAAGTCTGCTCTGATGGCAGTTGCATCATTTACTATTTTTCATACGGACAAGGTGGTTCTTAGAACTGACCCTAAGTTTCTACAAAAATAGCATCTGAATTACCCATCAAACTATTAATTTTTCCCCCTTAAACCACATGCTAATGAAAGGGAATTGGAGTTACATACCTTAGATGCTAGAAGGATTCCGGCACATTATTTAAATAGAACAAAGAGTTTTAGAAAGTCATCTAGGTTATTTGTCTCTTACGCTAAGAATCATACGGGTAATAGTGTATCTATTCAGACTATATCCGGAACAGTTAAACAATATATAACTGAATGTTATACATTAGTGGCAGTTCCTGTGCCTGCTATTGGGAAGTATCATTCTACTAGAGCAATGGTAACATCTCTTAACATGCCTTAAACATGTTCCTATTGGAGAAATCTACTAAGCTGCTACTTCGAGGTCAGTCTATTGTACTTTTAGCAAAAATTATGCTTTGGATTTTGCTTCAAGAGCAGATACCAGACTTAGTAGAGCCATGCTTCAATCATTATTTGATTAGGCCTCTGTTCCCTCTTCCTGAAATTTCTGCACTGCGTGCCAAATTACTCATAAGTATGAATATGCAAAGTCACTCAAAGAAGAAGTGAAGGTTGGCTACTTGTAATTGAAGACAACTCTTCAAGACAACTCTGCATATTCATACCACAACTTGGGTACAAGTAAGTAACCTTCCCCTCTTTCTCAGATCTTACCTTGGTTCTCCGGGTTAGTGGTGGAAGGAACCAAGGTGGAAGGGGGCACACCACCACCTCGTATAGATTACCCTTAAAACATTTGACGATGCTGAGATGGCGGCACATGTGTACGCTAGGGACACTATTTGGAGAAGGTTCTATCATTAGGCATCACCAGGTGGCACACTACCCATAAATGGGTATATACAGGGTCTTCTGGAAGAACTCTGGTTACAAGTAAGTATCCTTCATTTATAATTAACATTGTTGGCAAACTTGTTAACACATTCAGCAGAGAGCCCAAAAATGAATAAGAATGGAGAATGAACTTACCTCTCACCTTCAAAGTGATCACTTTGTATAAGTGTTGAGACACATTGAAGCGGTACAGACAACTACATTTTTGCAACTTGCATGGCTGAGAACTGTACTATAACTTATCTGTGAGTAAAACAGAGTTCAGATCACACATATATCAAACCTGGAACTTTCCAGGGAGACTAAAATGCACTTTACATCATTGTTTATAAAAGTCAAAGTTTATCTGAATAATATTTTTTTTTATCCCCTACAGGAAAATCATCATTAGGAGTTGCACTCTTTCGACTAGTAGAACCAACTGCTGGTACTATCCTAATTGATGATGTTGATATCTGTACTATTAGTTTGGAAAATCTAAGAACAAAGCTTTCTGTTATTCCTCAAGATCCTGTTCTGTTTGTAGGTACAGTAAGGTAGTTGTTCCTACAATTGTAAATTAACGTTTGTTGTGAAGTGAAATCTCATTAAATCATAAAGTGAGGCATTTTGGTTTGTGTTACAACTGATTATTAGTAATTATTATTAATTTTCATTACAGTAGCACTGAGAAGCCTTGAGATCCAAACCCCTTATGCTATACATGCACATAGTAAGAAAAGCTTACAGTATAAACAGACAAAGGTGGGATAAATTAAGTATTATTATTCCCTTTTTACAGATGAGGAACTGGGATGCAGGTAGGCTAAGGGTATGTCTACACAGCAGTTGAGAGTGCGATTCCCAGCACAAGTAGATATAGAGGCAGTAGCTCTGCTCTAGCTAGCATCTAAAAACAGCAGTAAAGCCACAGCAGCATGGGTGATGACTCAGCCTAACCACGCACGTCCTTACCCAGGAGGTTGGGGGAGACTGTACTCTGGCAGCTAGTCCAAGCTGCTGGGACCACACTGTATTCTTAGGTGCCATCTCAAGCAGAACTAGTGCATGTGTGTCTACCATGGAGGTAACTGCACCTCTCAGCTGCTGTGTAGACATATCCTAAGTGACTTGCCAAGGTTCACAAGAAGTCTGTGACAGCCCTGGGAATTGAACCCAGGTCACCGGTGTTCAAGTCCAGAAATTCTCACAGAATCAAATTTTTGATAATAGAGTTTCATAAAATATACACAGAACATCTGAAATTTCTCAGTTTATCAATATTGAAAATGGTTTGTGAATGGGAGGGAACTAACCTCTAAAAATCTCTCATCTTCATAGGAGCAGAATTCATTATGTCTCAGATACGTCAGCTTGAATGGCTCACCATCATCTCAAACTTAATGTGGGCAAAGCTGAGCTCATTATTCTTCATTCTAGACCCTCTCCACTACCTCCATTACTCATTAAACTTGATGCCACCACTCTCCCTTGTCCCTATCCAATTTATCCAAAATGTTGCTGTCAAAGTCATCTCTCTGTCTGTCACTTCAATCCCCTTCTTTGCATTATTTTCCTGGCTTCCCATTGTGCTGTTCTTCACGCTCACCTTCTTGTACTTGCCTTCATAGCCCTTTGTCAGACCGTGCTTGCCTACATCTTCAACCAGGTCTACTCTACCCTTGCACCCTTGTCTCCACTCAGCCTTCATAACGCCTTCATCTTCTTTTACAATATCTTCCGTGCAATCTTTCATGCTTCTCTTTGGTGTTGGAATATGCTGCCTAAGCTTGTTCACCAACATTCCTTTAATTCCTTAATAAAAGCCTCACTTGGGTGAGAAGAGAAGGCATTAGATCATATTAGCAGTATCACTGAAACCCTGAATATAGCTACTATATTTTTATTATAATATCAACATGTTCTATGGAATAATCATGAATCCAGAAGTATCACTATCAATAGGACAAACTGATTTTTCCCTCAAACCAGCTAAGAGCTCAGAATACAGGAAAACAATGCATGAAAATTATTGAAAACATGCATTATAAAAATTAAAGTACAGAGATAAGTTCTTTGGCCGTTCAGCCAAAATATTTCATGTTTAAAGTGACTTGTAATAGTAATTTACAAAGTATTGTTGTACTATATTGTGTTTTATTTAAAAAAAATAATTTTAATTTTTGCCTGTCAGGTACAACCTAGATCCTTTTGGTAACTATACAGATGATCGGATCTGGAAAGCTCTGGAAAGAACATTTATGAAAGAGACTGTACGTTTTTGGGGGTTTGATCATAATTCATTTTCTGATAAAGATAATAAATGGAAAGTCATTTACTGTTTGGTACTACATATAATTTATCATGTTAGATTGTTATGGCATTAATAATAGTGAGGCATTAATATATAATCTCATCAGTTGTGAATAATGTCTACTTACCGCATTGCTTCCCTTTTTGAGGTTATAATGGCAGAATGTTTATTTGAAATGTACAACACTCTTTTTAACAATCATAGAAAATATAACATCCTGATAAATGTATGACCATGCACAATCAATATACATCTCTACCCTAATATAACGCGGTCCTCGGGAGTCAAAAATTCTTACCGTGTTATAGGTGAAACGATGTTATATCGAACTTGCTTTAGCCCCCCCTGCTCCTTGTCCCCTGATGACCCCCTCCAGAGACCCCCCCATCCCTAATCACCCCCAGGACCCCACCCCACCCCCTACCCACCCCCCCGCTCCCTGTCCCTTGACTGCTCCGACCCCTATCCACACCCCTGACAGGCACTCACCAGCAGCAGCAGGAAGCGGAGCCCCAGCCTGCTCCACTCCGCCAGCTCCCAGACACAGTGCTCCGCTTCCCGCCACCAGTGAGTGCGGGGAGATTGGGGAAAGCACACCACCGGTGAGTGTGTGTGGGGGTGAATCCCTTCCCCCAAACCCCCACCCCCAGTGACATGGCTGGGGCGGGGCAAGGGAAGCGGAGCGGGCTGCTCCCAACCCCCCGCTAATCACCTGGGCCACTCTGGGCCTGCGGGGCCCCCACAAGTGCCCCCCCCACAGTTCCTGCCTCCCAGACCCTTTTTGGGGGGGGGAGGCCCTGCCCGTCCCCAGCCCCCAAGACCCTCTTCCCCTTATCCAACCCCTCGGCCCTGGCCCTGCACCCTTAACACGCCACTCAGAGCAGTGTGTCAGAGCCAGACACGCTGATCTGCCGAAGCGTGCAGCCCCGCCCCTCAGAGCACTGCTTTGCTGCGTTATATCCAAATTCATGTTATATCGGGTCGCATTATATCGGGGTAGAGGAGTATATTATTGCCAAATATGTATAGTCACTGTGTCGTTTTCTTTGTATTCTAGATATTGAAACTCCCAGGAAAATTACAGGCAGAAGTTGTTGAAAATGGAGAAAACTTTTCATTAGGGGAAAGACAGCTGCTTTGTATGGCAAGAGCTCTCCTTCGAAATTCAAAAGTAAGTAATGGGAGAGATTCTGATACTTTCAGCAGTGGTCCTGAATACATAAGAGTTGCAATAAGTTTTTTTCCATCTAACAAAGAGGGGGAAAAGGTGAAACCTACAAAGAAACCAACATATGTTTGTTCTCAGTTTTATAACTAGCTTATGAGTAAAGTCAACTTAATTGAAATATATTTTTCAACTTTCTTATTTGCTGTATTTGATCCAAATCTTTTCCACCTTTTAGATTCCCCATAAATTAACCTATATCTTGTCATATTAAATACTAAACATCTACTGCAGTTAATGTTGAACACCCATATTCTTCATTTTCCAACAATATATACATCTCATACTAACACCGTCTCCTGCTCACTTTAATTGCTGCTTTTGGCAATTTGAAGTCACAAAGTTCTGTTGTCCTACTAGTTAATAACACTATGAGCACAGGAAGCCTGTGGTCACTTTTGAATCTATACAATCATGAAGCCTGATCATCAGCTGATAAAAATCCACTGACCTCAATGAAGCTATGCTGATTTATACCAGCTGAGTCTCTAACCTTTTGTCTTTTGCTTGGCAAAGCATATTTGAGATTTGCCTATTGCTCAGCTATGCTTTTTCAAGTGAAAATGAAATGTTTAAACTTCAAAAGAGGGCTATGTCTGCAGGGATTCTCTCTTCCCAGAGGAGCACACCCCTACAAATATTTTTAATGCTCAAATATGTACTTCCAAACTTATTTGGAATGAAGGCTTAAAACTTGCAAGAGAGACCATGAAAACTGGTTCCTGAGAGGAACTAATCCATAATGGGAGTTTGGATTTCCCAGTGTTCTCAGGAAACTAACCTGTAGCCTGGTTACATCAGGCTACTCTTCAGGTGTTGACACTGTATAATCTATAAGGCAATAAAGCAGTAACAAACAAGTCCCTACACCTGTCTGTAAAACCATAAAGGCTTCTGTTTGGCTTTAACTTGCATATTTGAGCATAAACATGACAATGGGGACTTGCTTCCTGCCAATTTTCAGCAAGGGCCCAATCCAGTTTCTACTCAGTGGAAAGACCATGAATATCAATGAGGGTTGGATCAGTAAATCCTTATTAATGTATAAGCCTCAAGATCTTGAGTACCTTTCATTTTAATAAATCCACGCATATATTGTCACTTGGCACTGCTCTATACAAATATCTGGACTCATTTTTAATGCTACAAGATATGTGGTGTTAGTTTATAATAGGTTTCTCATTCCTCCACAATCGCCTAAACCATCAGAAAAAAAGTTCCAAGGATCCACTGTTTCTCTCCTCACCTCCCCCAGTAAAACTTTCAAAATATTTTTAAAATTATAAATTTCCAGCTCTGGCAAACCCTTTCAAGCCTGCTACTGTATCAGGATGGTCTCAAATATGGATTTTGTGTTTTCATGTAGTGGGCCCCATTTCCAAAGGGCTTCAACCTCCTCTTTAAACCTACATTTGCAATTTTGAAGGCACACACTGTGCAATTCAAGCACCTAGATAGGAGCTAGATTCCATCTTAATCTAGCCCCACGGAAATAAAATGGGACTATTCATGGAGTAAGGTACTATTCAATGTGAGTAAGGATCACAGGACCCACCCATACCAGGATCATGTTTGCCATTTAAGAAATTACATCCATATACATGAGCTCTTAAAGTTAAGTCAGAACCCCCCCCCCCCCAAAAGTCAGGTACATATTAGATGATACATATAAAACTTCTGCTGTGTTCCATTAATAAGACCGCCTCTTTTCTGCCTCCTAGAGTTCTCTTTGCAAGTGTCCTATCTTTTCTGTCCTGTAACTCAAGTTTAAATTTTCCTCAACACTTCATACAATATGGACCATAATTTGCTCTTCTAGGACCCAATCTTCCTCCACTTGGAGT